TTTGAATAATTATAAAGGCAGTTTTTTTTTTTTTTTTTTTTTTTTTTTATTGCGGCTAAATGTAGCAAGCTTGTATGTCCACACCTTAGGCAAGAAATAGCGTTTTCCATTTGTATGGCCTTGGAGAGCCACACGGGGGCGTGCTCACGTTCCAGAAGCCGTGGTTGGCGGAGAGGCCGCGGTACCGTATCTGTCCGTTACTGGATTCTAATAGGCAAGCTCAGCCCCATTAGAAACAGGCGGCCACTAAGGCATTCGTTGGCTGTTTGTCCGAAGCAGCTATGAGATGATGGAAGTTGTATAAAGACAGAGAAAAGGGAACTGCCCCTATTTCTGAAAATAGCGATCACCTAATCGTTGTCTCTTTAAAGATAAAGATGTCGCAAGGAGTACCTTGTTATAACCTGGAGGAGTCTAGGAGAGATTTTGAAAAGACTAATATGTGCATCTCGAAATAGGTCATGCCACTGCGAGTCAATTAAATCAGGAGAAATCAATATTCCTGTTAGTTTGCGTGCAGAGAGCAATATGAGGACAGGATCACCCCTTCCCCAAAACCGTTTCTGTCTTGAGCGCTCTCCGACCCCCTGAGATGATTAAAAGGCTTTTGTTTAAGGCAGATGGGGCGCTAGCAAAGTAGCTGAGTGTGGTCCCAGAAAAGATGGGACCCGTCGGAACTAAGGAGGAGGTCGTTCTGGGCGAGGAAGTCCCCCTGCCCCGCAGGTCGAGCCTAGCTTCAGGGGCTGTGGGGCAGCAACCGGGAGGCACAAGCAGGACTATGAGTTGGGGCGCCGGGGGTGGGCGAGGCGGGGCTGATGCGGCTGCGGGGAGCGGCCGCGTCCTGGGGAACATTTATACTCCTGGGCGGCGCGGAGTGGGCAACGCTAGGAAGCAAACGGGGTTTGCGTTTGACAGACTTCTGGTCACCCTTCCTAGCCGCCTGCGGGCCTTGAGCACAGAATTTGATTTTCGTGCCTCCTGCCGTTCTCTACCACCCACCCCGCCCCCTTTGTGAAGTCCCTGACGTTGGGGAGGGTCTGTGTTACCAGCCTGGGGCCTACAGGGAGTACTCTAAGACGTGGGTTTCTGCGGATGGGTAACTGTCCCTTCTTCGTGGAAGTTCATTGTGAAGCTCATGAAATCCCGGAACTAGTGCCGGCTCCGCTGTCTCTGTCTCCTCCCTCCAGACCCTGGACCAAGGGCCCTGGGTCCACCCCTGGGAGCTGGCATGGGTGGCTCCAGGGTGGCTGGGGCACCATGAGCACCCCCTGAGGCGCCAACCAGAGGCATGGGTGTTCCCTGCGGACACCCCGGCTCCAGCCTGCCAGACTGTGGGTCCAGCTTAGATATTTTGAAGAGACATTTCGCAGGGCCTAGCCCGGGGCCTCAGTTCACTTGGGGTTGAAAACTCCCCTCCCCAAATGTCGTTGTGTTCTTCTTTACGTGGCTGGGGGGCGGGGGTTGTGCGTGTGGCTTTGTGGAGGGGTGGCCTGGGCCGGCAGCCTTCCCTAAGATCCCGGGTGCTCATCGGTTTGCAGTTCTTTCCCTCCTGGTAGCTCCCAAGATGGACTTGAAAATGGCCCAGAGATTGGATCAGGACTTCCCAGGGCTGCGGACCCGACCCTTCCTGATCGGTCAGGGTTATGGGGCTCCTAGAGGGTGGTCATGTGCCTTGAGTCTCTGGGGTCTCAGATCTTGAAGTGGAGGGAAAATGCGCTAAATAAGGAATCTTTGTGTCTGCGAGGAAAAGAGGCTCCCTGGCCCAGTGCCCTTTTACCTGTTTTCACAGACCGCTCATCCAGGTGGCGATGGCTTCCTCAGCCTCCCCATTTGCTCCCTTGATTTCTTTTCACGTTGGTTGGAAGGTGCACAGTACAACGCCGAGGGGCGCCTTAAGGAAGCAGCCTTTTAAATTTGTCTCTATCTACTCTGCACCCAAAGGTGCAGGCCACGCAGGGCCCAAACTTCAGGGCAAACCTAGGGGCCCCCAAATTCACTCAGGCCCAGGGCCCCTGCTCTTCTTCCCAGTGATAAGAAAGCTCAGACACAAACCATTTCTTGATTACAAATGCTAATTTCCTGACAAAGCGACCCTTTTAATTTTTCTTGGGGAAAGAGCTGTGCCAGGGAGAAGGATGTTTTGGTAGAAGCGTGGATATTCATCTCCTTGATGGTGCAATATTGATTTATTATTAATGGTAACTGCTCCCACTGATCTAAAGATGATCGAGAACAGTGGCAATGCAGCTATATTAAATACTCATAAGCAAAATAAAGGCTGGCCTTGAAAGCCACTGTCTTTTTACTCCATTTTCTTCATCTCAGCCTTAGGGTCTTAGACAAACTTTGCATCCTCCTCTGCCCAGATGATTCTTTGTATTAAAACTATTTTGCTTGATTTTTATGATAAAAATCTCTTTGAAATATTGGCAATCCCTGGCCTCCAGGAGCTGGTCTGAAGGCAGAAATTTGAAAAATAATAAAATCGAATTTTGTGGTAATTCAAAATTATATCTGATATACATTTTATTTCGGTGAGTGAAGAAGATTTATTTAAAACCAAATCCACTGTGGGGGTGACTTTGAACTCCAAGCCACCGGGAGCTGAAACAGAAAGGCTCTCAAATCGGAAGGCAGATTCCGCCTGCTCTGGTAGACTGCGCTCCATGAGGAATCGTTGTTCTTTAGCTTGGCTGTTTTCTCATGTGTAAACAAATATTATGAAAGGGCATTTGATTCCCAGTTAGACTGAACAGTCTTGCCTTCTGCGTGGGATAGGGAGAATTGGACAACCCAGTTCCTGGCCGAGATGGAAAGGGACCGTGTTGGAGCGCCAGGCTGGCGTCAGGGCGCCTGCAGAGAGTGCGGGTAGCGGGCATTTTGTCCAGCCCTGGGCACGTTTTGCCGTGGCTGGGATGATCATCTCCGCCTTTGAAGAAAGCAATTTTCAAGGTGCTGATCAGTGGTGGTTAGCTTGGAATAGGACCTTAGCAGACCAGAGTAAAAAGTTGGGGTTTTTTTTCTGCCTTCTTCATCCTCTCCCTCCCCCCCCTGCTTAAAATCAGACAACCCTGTGAAAAGGTAATGTAATGTTTAACCCGCCGGCTTCCCTGGCAGGGCATCCTGCAGTCTGAGCAGTGAGAGGCTCTAGGCTTTTAACCTGACAATGATGTTGTATTTGAACAGCTGCTTAAAGGTTTAAAAGGTCTGTCTCATTGCCACCGCAGTTTTTTAAAAGGGGTTATTGTTTGGGCGAGGGCAATTCGAGGGGACAGGCGCAGCCTTCCCAAGGCTGAAAATAATGTCCAACCCCTGCTTTTCCACCAGGCCAGGGGACAGTCCTTTTGGGGAGGGGCTGACAAAGGGTTTGTTGGAAAAGGTTTCTGTGATGGAGCAAGTGGGCAAGGGGGTCCCCCAGAATGGTGATGTGCTTTCTTTAGCATCAGGCGCCAAAGAACTGTTCTGCGGAGATGGAAACCCAAATTGCCCACAAGTTCAGTCTCTGGGCCTGAAATCCAAGGCCAGCCCATAACAAGGCAACGTGGGGAGAAGAAAACACGGATGCCTTCCTTCGGGACAGAGCACTGGTTCACCATCAGAGCCAGGGGCCCTTTTCTTCTCTCGGATGCAGTGAAGGGGACCCGGAAGCCAGAGGACAGCTCCAGCGACCTGGCCTGGCCAGGGCAAGCCTTTGGGAAGGAATCAAGGTTAAAGCTCCCTGCTTCTGCCGGAGGCCGGAGCTTCCATAGTGTGGCTCAGCCGCCTGCAACTAGAGAAGGAGAGAGGAAGTTGTTGGAGAAGTTTCTCATAAAACTCCGAGTTTCCATGGCGGTGATGGTGGTGTTCTTTAATGAGTTCAACCACAAGCCAGACCAAATCCTCTTTATAGAACTTTCCCTCACAAAGGAAATAGAGGACGAAGGTTCTCACCCCACCTCCCTTTCCTCTCCCTCCTCTTACCCAAGCAAAACCGTGTCAAATAATTTGAGGAATTGTCCAAAACTATAAAACTCTACTTTTGACAAAAGTATAGCTTTTAATATTTGACAACTTGTGTTAAAACAAAAATTGACCTTCTTGGTTAGTACCGAAGGGGAAAAATCAATAGTATAATTTTCAATAATTCATAAAGCGAACGCCATTATGCTAAATCCTAACTATTAATCTTATCCTTTACTAAGTCTCGATTGATTTGTTAATAAAATATCTTCCCGTGTGTGGCAACAGCGGGTATAACTCTTTAAAAACCTTCAGAAGCAAGAAAATTACCAAGTAGCCCAAGAATGTAGATGAGAATTTTATTGATCGCCCTGATTCTTCTTAATATGTATTAATAAATTCCACAACCTTTTGTACCTTGCACTTGTCAGAAACCAATGCTTTTACAAAATCCATAAAAGGAAAACATTTTTCTTTGCAGAAGAACCAAATGACACCTTTGCATATCTCTCTCTCTCTCTCTCTCTCTCTCTCTCTTGTTTGGCCCAGTCAGTTTTCTAAAACTTCTAGAGTCTGAGGGCGATAGTTTTCCTCCGTCTTTGAAAAAATTATTTTCTTTCTTCCTCTTTGCCCTCTATGATCAGGGTGTGTGGGGAGGGAAACATCGGTTTAGTTCTCCCGATGGGAACGCTTTCGCGGATAACGAACTGCGGCGAGGGATGGTCTTCGGTTTGAAAGCTCCCAGCACCAGCCCTCAAGGTCGGGCGTGGTTCTTCGGCGGGCAGGCGGCTCCGCGGAGGAACCTGGAGCCCGGGCGGCCAGGCGGAAGGAGAGGGCAGCGCCGGGGCCGAGCGGTCCTCAGCCGCAGCCTCAGGGGCCGGCCAGCTGCGTGGCTTATCGCCTCTGCTCCACAGGGTACCTTGGCCGCGTCTGTGCGCGGGAGATCTTGCCTGTGGACTCCTCGGGTGGAAGGTCTCAGGCCCCAGGGAATCGACTCACCTTCCCAGGCTGCCCGGGACAAAATTAACCAGCCTGGGCCCCCACTAGCGCGGGGCCGGTGGTCTCCGCGCGCACTATCTCTGGCGCATAGTAGATGTCGCTGTTGTCCGTGCTTACGCGGCCGGCCGGCCCGGCTCTGGAACACGTGACCTGCGAGGAGGCTGCGGCTCAAGGCCATTTTCAAATCTCATTGGCTTGGTTGTCATGTGGTCGGCAGAGGCATCCACAATTACACGGGGAATGTTTTCCTAGAGATGTCAGCCTACAAAGGACACAATCTCTCTTCTTCAAATTCCTCCCCAAAATGTCCTTTCCCAACAGCTCTCCTGCTGCTAATACTTTTTTAGTAGATTCCTTGATCAGTGCCTGCAGGAGTGACAGTTTTTATTCGAGCAGCGCCAGCATGTACATGCCACCACCTAGCGCAGACATGGGGACCTATGGAATGCAAACCTGTGGACTGCTCCCGTCTCTGGCCAAAAGAGAAGTGAACCACCAAAATATGGGTATGAATGTGCATCCTTATATACCTCAAGTAGACAGTTGGACAGACCCGAACAGATCTTGTCGAATAGAGCAACCTGTTACACAGCAAGTCCCCACTTGCTCCTTCACCACCAACATTAAGGAAGAATCCAATTGCTGCATGTATTCTGATAAGCGCAACAAACTCATTTCTGCCGAGGTCCCTTCGTACCAGAGGCTGGTCCCCGAGTCCTGTCCCGTTGAGAACCCCGAGGTTCCCGTCCCTGGATATTTTAGACTGAGTCAGACCTACGCCACCGGGAAAACCCAAGAGTACAATAACAGCCCCGAAGGCAGCTCCACAGTCATGCTCCAGCTCAACCCTCGCGGCGCGGCCAAGCCACAGCTTTCGGCCGCCCAGCTGCAGATGGAAAAGAAGATGAACGAGCCTGCCAGCGGCCAGGAGCCCACCAAAGTCTCCCAGGTGGAGAGCCCTGAGGCCAAGGGTGGCCTTCCGGAAGAAAGGAGCTGCTTGGCTGAGGTCTCCGTGTCCAGTCCCGAAGTGCAGGAGAAGGAGAGCAAAGGTCGGTATGAGCAGGGTTGCCACCCCAGCGGGGCGCGCAGCCCGGGAGCCCGGCACAGAGGGAGCACCTGGGTGCCCGGCGCGGAGCCCTGGCGGCTCAGGCGGGGCGGATGGCCGGCGCTGCTCCTCCCAGCTTTTAGAGGGGCATCCTCAGTCCCCAGCGCATCCCCGCTTCTCCCCCGCTGCCCTGGCCCTCCTGGCTAGTCCTGGCTCCACGCTGATGGCGTCTCGCCAGAGGAAGGGCTTGCTGGGGTTATTTTTCCTGAGCTAGATCTGAAATGCAACAAAAGAGCGCAAATGACCTGCAGCTCATAAACACAGCCCCAGAACCTCCTTTCTCTTGCTCAGATTTGCAGCCCCAACTTTGACCCAGTTATGATTTTAAGGTGGTCCAAGACACCGTGTTCGTGTTTCAGTGTATGCACCCCGCATCCTGCGAGCTTGGGGGCTGCCCGGAGAACGAGATGGCTTGGTTGTTTGGCGCTTGAGCGGGGGAAACAAGGGCTCTTTGCCTCTGCGGGGCTAGGTAACCTTGGCTTTGTCTGGGGAAACTGCCTCGAGCTTTGCAATTCATTTGCAGAGGGGGCCAAGGCGGAAGGGGGGAGAAGAGAATCTGCTTGGCCCACCCGGCAGAGGCAGCCTTAGGGCTGGGCTAGGGCAGAGAGCCAGGGACGCTGGGGTTGGCTTTGTTTCTGGAGAAGGGACCCTGCTCCCGTGCCTCTCTGCCAGTGCCTGAAGGTGGGCCACATTAAGGAGCTACATTTCGGGGCAATGCTTTTGTGTGGGGGCGAGAAGGCATGAAAATCCAGGAAATTCTGAATGCCCGGGCAGGGTGGAGAAGGTGTACTCAGTTATGTTTTAAAGGAAAATGGGCACCTATCGACCTGGCTGTGTGGCTCCCCACCTGCCCAGGGAAAGTGGGGAAGAAGTGGCAGACCTGGAGACCTGAGGCAGCAGTGGGATTGGTAGCCTGGTCCAGGCTGCGGCTTGCTTCTTCCACTCCAGCCCTGTTAGGAGCTGACCACTTAGAATGTTGCTGGGGAGACCCTGAAAGTTCACTATTGTACTAATGTTTGATGCAGGTCAGAAAGCTGAGGGAGAACCCTGACACAGAAGGCCAGGTCCCCGCCCATCCTATCATTTGGGGCATTTAAACTAATCTGGTATCACTGACTAATCCCTTCCAAGGCCCACCTCATGTGGGTAATGTTTAATACTAGTATTTCCCACAGCAGCCTGGCTGCCTGCAGGGTCATGGCCAAGGGTACATTTGAACAGACTGAGAGACCAAAAAAAAAAAAAAATTCTTGATTTTTTTTCTTCTTCTTCTCCCTTTAATTTTGTTAGAGGAAATCAAGTCTGATACTCCAACCAGCAATTGGCTCACTGCAAAGAGTGGCAGAAAGAAGAGGTGCCCTTACACTAAGCACCAAACGCTGGAATTAGAAAAAGAGTTCTTGTTCAATATGTACCTCACCCGCGAGCGCCGCCTAGAGATCAGTAAGAGCGTTAACCTCACCGACAGGCAGGTCAAGATTTGGTTTCAAAACCGCCGCATGAAACTCAAGAAGATGAGCCGAGAGAACCGGATCCGAGAACTGACCGCCAACCTCACCTTCTCTTAGGTCCGAAGCCCGTGGGAGGCCAGGATCAGAGAGGGGGCACCGAATTCCAGGGCCCAGTGCTGGAAGACTGGGAAGGCGGAAACAAAACCTTCTTTGCTCTTTGTTTTTTTTTTTTTTGTTTTGTTTTCCTGCTAGAATGTGACTTTGGGGTTATTCTGTTCGTGCTGCAAGTGATCTGTAATCCCTATGAGTATATATATACATATATATATTAAAAACTAGCACGTGTAATTTATTATTTTGTTCATCGTAATGCAGGGTAACTATTACTGCGCATTTTCATTTGGGTCTTAACTTATTGGAACTGTAGAGCATTTATCAATCTTTGTATCTATCCAGCAATGTGACTTTTTTCATGTTTTTCCTAACACAAAAGGTCTGTGTGTGGTTAGTCCATGAGCCCATGGCGTTTTGAATACATCAGTACTTAAAGTACTTAAATTACATATATATTTAAAAAAGATTAAGAAAATTCACAAGCTTTGGGGGGAGGGGGACTAAAAAGCACATTACAATGTATCTTTTCACAAATGAATCTAGCAATTGTCCTTGGTGAGATGGAATATTGATGACTTATGCCTTGTAGCCTTTCCCTTGTGGTGCATCTGTGGTTTGGTAGAGTGTAACAGCAACCTGTCCATTCTGTGCATGTTCTGGTCGCATGTATAATGCAATAAATTCTGGAAACAAGTTCGCTCCCTCTGCTTTCTAAAATGAAAATTTGTTACAGTGGAAATGAAAGCCTTTGGTGAGATTATCTTCCTGTTAATCTGCTTGTTTGGGGAAGTTTGGGGGGATAGAGAGAAGGAAAAGGATGTGAGAGAGAAGCTGGAGGAGGCCTAGGGTCTTGAAATTTGGCAGTGTGTGTGTGTGTGTGGGGGGTGCTATTTCCATAGTTGGGAAGAAGGGAAGTCTTTTCTCCCTAGCCCCCCAATAATTGAATTGAATTGAATGATCAGTTTCCCTCTAGCTCGAGCCTGGTAAGTAAGTAAGCTTGTGCCCAAGCTGCTTTTTCCTCAAAGCTCCCCACTTACGTGTCTTTCTCTTTGGTTTTGGTTGTGTTATTTTTAATGCTTTCAGTGGGTCTTGGCAATTTCTGGCTGGCGTGCCATCATCATCAGGGGCTGGGTTGAAACCAGTCTTGCCCACCTGGAAGCCAAGGGGCCTCCATTGCAAGGACAAGCAGCAGCTTAGCATTGCATTGGATCCAAGTCTGCCCCCATTCCCTCATTCTCACCCACCCCAGCACAGGACAGCCAGGCCACAGCGGAGCAGAGGATGGGTGAGTTTTTCCATCCACTTTGTCCTGGTTTCCTTGTGGAAGGATTTTATGCTCAGTCATTACCTTTTAGTGGTCCACATGAAATTTTTTTAAGGGAAGAGAATATTCCTCCCCCCCCCACACCAATTCTCCCTCTATTTAATTACAAAATGCTAGTTGGAGCCACTGTATCTGGGGGGCAAGAAAATGTACAAAGGGTGACCGAAAGAGAATTTGCAAATGAACATGACTTCCCATGAAGTCCACTGTTCCAGCTGCCGCCATGGTTTGAAAAACCCCAGCTTTCACCAGTATATATACTGGAGGATCCGCAGCCCAAGAGAGCCCGGACTTAATCTACTTCTGCCAGGGAGAAGGAAAGAGAGGCCTTGGGAAGAATTGCTGACAGAGAATCCGTTACCTCAGGTTGTGCTGCAGTTTCAAAGGGTCGCCAACAGCTTTAAGCAGCTCCACAAAACATGTTCTTTTCATCCCTGCCCTTTTTTCCCCTAAAAACAATTTTTTAGGGGCCCTAAGAGTTGGAGACCTCACCTAGGGAGTCTGGCAGACTCTGTATTTATTCAGAGTTTTAAACTTCCTTCTCAAAATCAAGAACCTTCCCTAGTTCTAAGACAGAACCCTTTTAGGGGAGCTATTTCCTAGGGGTGGGAGAGAGTGGGTCTGAATGAATGCCAGGTGAGGAACACTGGAATCAATTTGCCCCAGACCTTCATTGGTTGGGCAGGAGGAGGGCAATTTTAACTTTTCCGTTTCCCCCACGATGTGGGGAGCACCATTAGTTGTTGACAGGGGGCCATGTTTGGGAGGAAGACCGTGCTACAGGCAAAGGCAGCACCTCTGGAACAAAATCAGAAAGCCATTGGCAAAGACAATCAGGCCATAAGCCACTGAGCCCCTTCCTTTCCGGGGCTCCAGGCGGGCTGGGAGCCTTCCCAGGGTGCGCTGGGCAACTTGTAGAGCAAGGGACACATCCCCCACCTCCTGCACCCAGCTGCTTTTGTCTCCGCTCCCAGCCAGGCTTCCAGGCTTTGTACCATGGATTTGGGAGTGACAATGGGCATTTCCCTCAGATTCAAGGCTGCCCAGCCTTACCTCTGGAGGGAAAGAAAAAAAAAATCGGAGGAGAGTGGCCCCAGGACCAGGCCATTTTAAAGACACCCCGGCATCCACTTGGAGGCCTCTAAGTGGGCACCACGCGAAGACGCCCTGCCTTGGGAGGTGCGGCTCCCCTGGCCTCGAGGTCGGGTGGCGGGCGGGCGCGGGTCTCGCGCGGGGATTTGGGGTCTGCCCCGTGGCGTGTTCTCTTGCAGGGCAAGCCTCCCGTTGGGGGTGCCTGTGGCCGCAGGGGCGTGTGTGAGTGCGGTGGGGGGAGGGGGCCCTCCGAGCTGCTCCATCCGTCCGTTTTATTAGGGACACATTAATCTATAATCAAATACACCTCATAAAATTTTTATTGAAAGGCATAATATCATTACAAAGGTCTTCCACCTGTTTTAAACAACACGACAAGCTGTGAGAGCGCGTGTGTGGGTCTGTGCGGGGAGGGGGTTGGGGCAGGGAGAGAGGCACAGGGAGAAGGGCTCCCTCCGGCGCCAGGGGGCT